TGATCTTGGATGATTTAGTTAAATGAATGTTAAGATATCGAATCAGCTCTAATCAGAAATTTACAATAAGCACAAGTCAGAGAGTGATTTTCAAAATACCAGAATACATTTATTAGCATTTTATTATAATTTATTTAATCACAACCTACCACATTACAATATATAGAATTAATTAGTTGGTAATTAATTAGTTGTTAAATTTGATTTTTTTAAATATTAATTTTAATGATTAGGATAATTTAATAGATTTTAAATAGGTCCTAACCATGGTTGTTTACACATAGTTACACGACAGTGGCGGCGCGGAGGCCTGCAAATGGTCGAGAGGAATTTTATTGATGTGAGCAGGATGAGAAACTAGTAATTTTTTAAATTTGGCCTAACCACCTTTAACTAGAAACCCCTTGTCACGGCCTGACACCTATCATTTTCGTAAGAAAAGTACCGTAAATCCTCAAATAGCAATGCGGTACTTAAGGAGGCCTCAGTGCGGTGCTTATTCGAGAGCGGCGTTAAATAAATATTGACATGCCCATTCCCATGTTAAATATCTCCTATCATAGGCCCTACCTCATCGTAAAGAAACGTTCATAAAGATACAGTATGCTTGTATTTTCATTGTGTTATTCATTTATTTGAACACTGTATACATTGTATTTAAAACCCTGTTTCTCAGAGTATTTCATTACACACAGAAGTACTTTCGATTGCGCTGCGGCATTTATTTCATTTGATTTGATTTCATTTATTTCGTCCAAAGAACTCAAAATAACAGAAAGGAAAAAACAACACTTAATTGGCCGGACAATATAAGTGAACTAAATCACTGTCTAGTGGTTCTCAGATGCCAATGAGAACATAAATTAAATTAGCATGAAATAGTAAAGTAAAATTTCATTAAAATATATATAAAAATATAGTACAAAATCATCAATGAAATTAGTCAACAGTTAGTAAGATAATAAAAACATTTTAAATACAGCTCTTTATGTTTTGTACCTCTAAAACTCATTTTTTTTTTTAATAATGAATTTTTTGACCAAATAGATGGAGTCTCAAAGGGTTCTCCATTGGGACCCGTCCTAGCTAACCTCTTCATGGGACACTATGAACAATCCTGGATAAAATCGTTTACTCATGCACCCGTTCTTTTTCACCGACGGTATGTTGATGATGTTCTTCGCTTATTTAATTCTGAACACGATGCCGACATTTTTTTCAATTTTTTAAATTCACAACACCAATCAATTAGATTCACCATAGAAAAGGAGTATAACAAAAAATTACCCTTTCTTGACATTCTTTTAGATAACGTGATTCATAACGCATTAATAACCTCAGTCTATCATTAAAAAAAAACGTATACAGGTTTGTTAACAAATTTCCATAGCTTTACGTCACATACATATAAATTCGGACTCCTACGCACTCTAATAGACTGTACATTCAAAATTAACAACACATGGTTGGGTCAGGGAGATGTAAACAATTTTTTTTGCATCTCCCTGTTTGGATTTTCATAACGATTTAAGAAAACTTGTACTCACTTTATTTAAAAAAAAATTGTTATCCAATTTCATTAATTAATAAAACAATACATAACTATCTGAACAGAAAACTATCGCCCACTACTTTGGATCCTCCTAAAACGCAAGCACAACCTTCTCATTTCAAGTTACCCTATACACTATATCAAACTATTGTCAACGAAAAATTAACGTTATGGTCAAAAATTATTGCTCTAACATTAAAAATACAATAAAAACTCAAATACAATATTCGAAGAAGGGTGCTTGTTGGAGGATTTACAGTAATTAAAACTTCAAGCTGTATAAAATTGGTGCATAAAGGTTTTTGTCAGCACACATCAATTTTTTTAATTTGCAGCCCTTGGTGTTTTAAGTCAAACTGCGCTTTTGGTAGTGTTCTCCTGCCCATTTTTATGTCTGTCCCTGGCTTATGATAATCAAGTACATTTAGTGCTGGTAGTATTACTGCTGAGAAAATAAGCAAATAATAAGCCCTTCAGTCCACTTCAGTGGGTAAAACAATGAATATGTGTCAGTGTAGATTATACTTGATATGTTCAGTGCACCTTGTGCAGATTTTTTAGAGTAGCTATAAATAGCTTGCATTATAATTACCAGTACTTAGGAAATAAGTGTACAGTACTTCCCAACGTTTAGAATTCTCTTGTTTAGCTTATATAGTCCTAAGAAAAAAATAATTACCGGTACTTAGGAAATAAGCGTACAGTACTTTCCAACATTTAGAATTAAATATAATTCTTGTTTAGTTCATATAATCCTGAGAAAAAAAATTTGCAAAAAACAAAGAATTTGTAACACAACTCAGAAAAGAGACAGATCAAAACTTTGAATCTTCAAAATGTCTTTTGGGAGTTTTTATTGTATTTCAAACTAATTAATGAATCCTCTCATTTCTTCTAATTAATATGTTATTTTGAAATTAAAAACACAGACCTCGTTTATGAAATTCTGCATAAATGTTTCTTAACCAAGTATGACTATTCTAATATAGTGATTTACTATGCTTCCTAAAAATAAAGAGTAGATAGTATAAAGTAAATCTTTTCTACTGGACTTTATTTCTTGACTATTTCATGTCCAATCCAGGACACATCATCAGTCCAACTGGTGTTTTGTGGCTAAATGTCATTGACCTCTGACAGTAGATGGAATGTCATAGGTGGAACATTATGAGGCACCTTCTGTTCACTTATTATTTAGCAAAAAATGACATGGTTTTTTACGTTATATTTATATTTTATATAATATATAATATCTTATATAATATATATTTTATATAATATATAATTTTTTGTATAATATATAATTTTTTATATAATATATATTTTATATAATATATAAAATATATATTATGTAAAAGAAATTATATATTATAAAAGAAATTATAAATATATAAAATATATATTATATAAAATATTATATATTATAATATAAAATATTATATATTAAATAAAAATGTTTTTATATAATATATAGTATTTTATGTAATATATGATTTTTTATATAATATATAAAATATATATTATGTAAAAGAAATTATATATTATAAAAGAAATTATATATTATAAAAGAAATAATATATTATAAAAGAAATTATAAATATATAAAATATTATATATTATATAAAATATTATATATTATATAAAAAATTATATATTAAATAAAAAATTATATAAATATATAACGAAAAAACCAATGCCTATTTTCATTGACCATTTAATGAACATTTGGCGTGTGCCAAGTTTTAAATTATTGTTTAGCAAAAGTCCTTGATTGTCTGACCATTCTTCCATGATACATATTCTTAAACTAGGCTGGGAAGTAATAGAAGGACCTTTGTCAACTGTTAAGGTAGCTGTTATTTGTCTTAGTTCTAACATAACATTGATCCACAACTACGAATACTTTACACACAGATTCCTTTAAAATGTGACATTAATCGGCATCACAATCCCTATTTAATGTTATTGACATGCGCGACACTAAAAAATGGACGGCAAAATGCTTAAAAACCACTGATTGCCTTTAATTACATCTTAATTGGTTGACAATTTTCACACCTAGCCAAGTGATATATCAGAAGCAAATCAAAACATGTTTAGCACTTTGCAAGAAAAAAAATGTAAAGTGTAAAGGAGTACAAGTAAGGGGAAAACAATTTTATATTTGTTTTTGTTTTATGTAACTCTCACTGTTAAAAATTACTAAAAAATTAAAAAAAATTAATAATTTACAAACGCAACAGTAGCCTTTATTTATTCATTTACTATGAGCAAAGAGGTATTGCCTTTGGAACAGCGCACACACAGGAGTTTTTTGCGTTTTACACTTATTATAGCCTATAAATATCAAAATGTAAAGTCATAAGAAGCACACATCTACACAATCACTCATATACACAGAATTAACTGTAGAACAATATTAAAACTACAATCCAATAAACATAAAATGTATGGAGTAACTGTAAATTTGTACACATCCATCCTACTAAAGATAGGCCTACAGTACTTACAAACATGTTTGTGTAAGGGGTCTGTACATTTCTGAAGATGTTGGCAGTTGGGAACGATCCTTAACAAAGTAAAAGCAAAATTCAAGTACTTGTACTACAAGTATTGAACAATAATAAAAATAAACATATTAAACATAATAAACATTTGTTAATTGTATTGTTATTTTATGCTTTGTTGACAAAATATAATTTTGTTGGTGTAGCATACAGTTTTATCGATTCTTATATGAAAGTTAAAGATGATGCTGTTTTTTTAATAGAATGTCATTTGTCGGCCTACTGCTGCTGCAATTTACTTTGGGATGGGGTTTGGGATGGGTAGACATGTGCAAATATTTATTGATATATTATTAATCATTCAGAATTGGTCTCTGACCTGGATTAGCACACTTTAAAAAAAAAATGTGTGTGGTCAGTCTGGCAAGAATTTTAGGACCATGGGACACAACACACATTGGATGACACAGGAGTACGTCAGTAAAGCATTACGATACCGTACTTATTATTGTATTAAACAAGAAGTATTTTCTATAAAAAAAAAAACCCCCGCCGCAACATCTTTAAATCATACGATTGGTTTGTATTTACAAACTTAATAAAATGACGCAGGGGTGGCGCCATGATTTGCCCGATGTGTATAAGAGACAGGTCCCCGACAGGGGGGGGGGGCGATGCCACGACAAGGGGTCAGATTTCCCTGACGAATGCAAAGTAGGCATGGTCGAGCTTCGAAAAAAAGGTTGAGAAAGTGGTCCAGGGGGTGAAGCCCCCGAAAATTTAGACAATTTAGGGGTTTCAAAGGCTTATTTAATCAATTTATGAGTCTACAAATATGTAGATAATACATATCATTTCTGCTAATGTTTGACGTAAATAGCCTCTTTGATCCTCTCTCAACCATTTTCCATTAATATACCAGTATAATTTTTTTATTTCAGTGGGATCGTTACGTGCTATGTAATGGTAGTCCTGACCCTACCGTGCCAAGTGAAATAAACACGTACATCAACCTGTGGAAGGAGGATAAAGATCGCAATGATATTGATTGTGTCCTGAAGGAAAGCAAGTTAACTCTATCTGTATGTATCCCATAAGTAAAATACAATCACGAAAACACTAACATTTGAGAAAAAAAATGTTTTAGTCCTAAGTGTTCAATTGATAATTTAGATTGAGCTGCATTCTTATTGATGGATGTCAAACATGAAACTATTTTGAGAGCTCTGTCTTGTGATTAAAGCTCTCACCACACTATTATGTTTGAAACACAAAAATTGGCAGTGTGTATTTGCACAACTCAATTTAGTGATAAGGCCTTTTAATGAGATTGTTTATGGTATTGCTGTATTGGCCTGAGAATCTGCTCACTTCCTCATTCCTTCCCCATGTAAAAGGTAGTTTGTAATGCACCGGCCAGACTAGACTGCACAAATGGGTGCTACCTATTTAAAATCTTAACAATCAGAGTCCGATTGTTTAGGGTCACAGCCAACACTTTCATCACGGCGGACTATCAAGCGTTACGGAGAATGCATGAAGCGTTGATTGCCATGGCACTTAAAGGTACCTAGGGAGGACACTGCTAGCACCTAGAATTCAATTCACTTCATTTCTGTGGAGCTACAAAAAAGGAATTACAAATCGAGCAACATATACATCTTAACAATATACATAATTATGTACACTTTAATGTTAAATTTAAATTTCATAATCTTTAGTATTTATATAGCGCTTTGTTGTCCCTGGGTCCGCATGCTTAAGTGTTGCAGCCATATTGGCGCAGTAGCAGGCAACCCCACCAGGTACTCATTTATACTCCTGGGTGGAGAGAAGCAGTGTAGATAAAGTGCTTAGCTCAAGGACACAAGTGAAATGCACAGCAAGGGATTGAAACCCCAACCTTGAGGTCTGTGATAACTTATGGAAAAATTGACACAAATTCGATAAAAGCATCCAAAAAGATCAAATAGTTCCATATTAATTTCCAATGATAATTTACTCAGATTAAAATAAATTGGTTTTTACTGATTATTAGACCATTATACATACACAAAAATTAAATCGATTATGCAGCAGCAGCGATTTCCATTCAGTTTCGGAACCTTGTTGTTGAGGGTTTGTACTACATGCTGACCATTCATGGCTGGCTATGCTTTAGTTACCCCAGTTTGCACTGTTGACAGGTTGTGAAGTATATACATAGAATGAGAATAAGAACATTAATATTTTTACATACGTTTGTTGGCAAGGATATTTTGTTCTCATTCTGATTTTCATTGAGAAATGCAAGTAAGTTTAAATCCAAACTAAAAAATGAATCTATTTTTAGCTGAACAGAGACAGTTACCATTGAGGTTAAATACAATATACAGTAGTAGCAAAGCTAGAGATGTGGAAGAATATAAAGGGGAATAATTTATAAGCAATAATTGGGGCACCAAGCCAATGCCAGAGAATCCTGCAATAACAGTGACGCAGCATATTAGTCTAATGTAGTTCAAGCTTAATAATAATAATGAAATACTAATATATTGTGCTTGGGACTGTCAACTGTTATGCTTGGGGTTTGAATACATTGTCTGAGCCATAAGTAGGGAAATGGTTCATTTCGTTGACTACGATTTTTCGTTGAGTTATTTTCATTCGACTGGTTCGTAAAATAGACTTCATTAACAATGAAAATTAACGTAAACCAGAGTGTGTTAATGAGCCTTAAGTTATCCATGTGATCAAAACAAACATAGTCGATTGGTCAGTTTAGCAACAACATTTGCGTTAATAAAATTTTGATTAAATTTCAGGAAATAAAATTTATAATATTTACCTACATGAAGTCAAAAAATAATTGTAGGCTAACAGAATACAAAAACTGGGTGGAAAAATTTTTACAAAAATACAGCTATTAGATATGGTTTCTTAAATATACTTGTATTAGTAGAAATAAATAGAAATATGTAAAGTATCACCACCTTATATTCACTATTGCCTACTACTAAACATCCTACACAAAAAGGAAAGTTTACCTATAAAAAAACAAAAGTTTGGAATTCTTTAATAGAGGAAGCAAATATTCAAAGAGTTTCGAGAAAATTGTGTTTACTTTGCATAATTAGTAGGAACAATATAGTGCACAGAGCTCTTGTTTTTACAATCAATGCATAAAGTAGATTTTATAAAACAGAGAATGAATTACCATATTATTCAATAAACAACCCACCCACCTTGAATAAATGCCCCCTTGAATGTCGCCTCATCTAGAGCCTCTTGTAATAAACGCCTCGGGCCATTTATTTTTTCGTGGAATAAACACCCCCTAAATAAATGTAAATATAATTACTGTAATGGAAGCAACATCATTCCCAACGCCTGCTATTAATTACTCTAATTAAATTTTTTCTAACCTGGTTGTGATCAATAAGTCTCTAAATTTGGTAATTTTGTTTTTGTAGTTCACATTTACAGTGAAATTAAGGGGCATGTATTTGAGTGTGTGTGTTCATTTACACAGAAAAAATGTGTCCCTCATGTAAAATCCCACTAAAAAACCCTTCTCAACAATAAACGGACTGGGGTGTTTATTCGGATAGATACAGTATTTGATCTTAAAAATATTCACTTTCAATTTATTCAGTATTAAAACATAGTAAACGACAGGTGACAGTACTGTTCTGTTGTTGCCTGCTAAAGAAACATTGTTAATATTAAGTACTTACAATTGTCATTTTGAATGTGGAAAGTTTAGTAGAGTACAATACTGTACAAGAAAAATATAATGCTCTAAGCAAATTCATCATTTTCTGTAAAATTCATTTAGGAGTTGAATGATAGATGGAATAGCCAACCTTCTTGTTTTTAGCCCGAGTGCCCAGCTTGTAACTTGTTATATAATAAGATAGGGGAAAGTGTCTATATCTCTTTCACATTTTGTTGCAACTGAATAAACTCTGAAAAGAACATCATTGGTAATATTATATTTGTTATCCAAGATAACTCTCTTTTAATTATTAATGCATTTGTGGTTTTATTATTAATATTATTATTATTATTGTTATTATTGTTATTTATTTATTTTTGTTATTGTTATTATTATTATTATTAAAACCAGGAAACTTTTCTCACCCAAAGGGTGCTATTCTACGAAAAGGCCATGTTGCCATTGCTAAAAATTAAAATAAAATTAAGAATGCAGAACAAAAGATTTCAAATGAAAAAGCATTACAGTCTTAACATATGATTATGCCTAATGTTTAAGTAACAAACTATACAGGCAAAAATAGTCTTTAATCATAAGTCATGAATTATTGAGAGAAACCTACAGAATGTTAAATCTCATTTGCTATCATTCATAATCGATAATTTCTTATGGAGCCTTAATATAGTATTTGCATTTGTTTAATGGTTTTTCTTTTTAAAGCACATATTACATTTGTCGGAAAACAAGATTTGCATGCTTCACTTTAATAATTAGTCATGTCTCAACTTAATAAATTTGAATTGCACATAAAAAAAAGGTACAGATGACCTGCGACTTAGTTGCATTAATTATTAATGTTGCGAATGATGTGATTATAATTGTATTTGGATTGTATTTGGACTTGTAACATACTGGTAATATGAATAATCAAATAATAAAAACATGGTGACAAAAGGAAGCAACATAATCATCATCATGATGTTATTTCGAATGGAACTCAAAGCATATCTTCATTTCAGCTAATTTCAACAATAAATGTAATTCTTATGCAAAATGAAGTAGGCTGCATTCGGTCTTGACATCATATCATTAACTATGTATTTTCTCTGATATTAGCGATTAATACTTAATTTGATAGTACAAAATTTGCATGGTAATGGCTGGTTTAATAACAAAATACTTGGTGCATCATTGTATAACCAATTGGGTTTAACAAAGGTCAAGACAAAATGAATAAGGTAGTATGGTATGAGGCATGGTTAATATGAAATGGCCCGTTTTTTATATATGAATTGCATTAAAAAAAAAAAAAAAGTAGCAATTCATTCAATAAGTATAGCATAATCATAAAATATATTATATAATTATTCACTTGGCAGATATAGACTCATTAAATCCTTTTCATTTTGCTGGCATCTGCTTGTTTAATACTACAGTAGTATCTGCCGTGTAGCCTGAAAATTTCACATTGATTTTTGTGCGTGCATTAATGCAAGTTTATAATTAGGTTTGTTAATTGCTATGGAAATCTGCATTCAATATCTTGATGAACTTAACACCTAATTTTCATAGTATTATGTCAGTAATGTATGGTAGTAATTAAAAAAAACCAATGGCACAACCATGGCTTTACCAGAAATGGTTACTTTGTTTCATTTATACCTGCTACTGTTAGGTATTTGAATAATGGATGGGTATTGAATACCGTATGTACTGTAGTGTAAAAATATTAAAGGTGGGTACTGATACTATGCTTTGAATGATTGATGAAATGTTATATAAAATATTCTTTGTTTTATGTGAATACATAAATTTGACTTGAATTGTCTTTGTCCGTTCAATAGAACAAAAACAATTAGAAATCACCTGTTTGTAGGCATAACATTGAAATATTTAAATATATTTTAATACATATACTTTAAATATAATACATGGTTAAATATGATTAAATTGAAATATTTAAGTAAATGAAGTTTATTCTTTAAAATTACATTGTGAAATTTGCATTGTATACCCTTATGGCCTATGTGGTGGATGTGCAGTAAGCATAAAATTTAACATTTAAAAAACTACAGTATTACGGGGGTTAGATTTGTAGCATGAGGAAACAAGCCACTAATTTGAAGGGGCACAGAAACCAGGTCAGTTGGCTGGTATCCATAGCGGTGTCAGTACAACACAGTACACACTAAACTTTCATATCAAATTATACTTCTATGCTATATTCACTGGAAGCATAGTCATTTTGTTTAAAGTTTGATTTAGATTCAACACATAAAGATAGTTCCTAGACACTTTAAATCCACGTAATTGTGAAATCAATGAAATCCATTAGGCTCATTATTTTTTGTAGGTTTCTTAAGAGTATATTCATTTTTGTCAATAAATAAGAAATTGACATATTTTCTTTATTAGGATTCAAAATCAATAGAAAATTACATGTTATAAAGCCATATTGTTATTTGCACATTGATATCAACCTTGTTAAAAAACACATTACAATTTTAGACTTTAACCTTCTAATATAAGCCTTTAGTTTAACAGATTTCATTTTGCCAGTTTCTGATAATTTTAGTCACTATTTGACAAGTCGAATGGCTGAGCGGTTAAAATAAAAACCTACATCTAGTAGAAAAAAGGAATAGATAAAAAATAATACAATTAATAATTATTAAGTACACAGTAAAATAATAATAAAAAAACGATGAGGATATAGTAAAATGAAATTATTTCTAATGTTTTTAAATTACCATGAGATATTTTTCATTTTTCTAGTTGATTGAAGAAGTTGTGCAACACATGAAAAGCTTAGCAGGTGACCAACTCCCTGATACCACCGAAAAGTACTTGAAAGAGACTATTGCAGACTTAGAGGCGTTACTGATTCAGAAAATGGACCAGGCCAGTCTACTTTTGCTGAAGGTTAGATTATATTAACTGATTCCTCTCTATATTCTCCACACCAATTTTGCTTGCTTTTCAATTTTCAGATATTAAATATATAATTATTAATATCTGTCGATTCTAAAAAATATATTGCTATATACTTGTGTATCCTATAAAATAATTAATTGCTAAGGTAGAGAGAAAGCAAGGTCGGGGGTTCGAAACTCTGGCTGTGCAAATCGCTTGTGTCCTTGGGCAAGGCACTTTATCTACGGTTGCCTCTCTCCACCCAGGAGTACAAGTGGGTAACTGGTAGGTTCCAACACAACCTGCGCTGATTACTAGCTGCAATATTATGGAATGATAATATAATTTCATTTACTAATTTAATTTGGTGTTCAATGTGTTCCATATGTGTTTGTTCCAATGACCGGGGTAGTAATATGAAGTGCTTAGAGGCCTCGTAAAGGCATGAAGCGCTATATAAGAATGACATATTATTATTATTATTATTATTATTATTATTAAGAAAGAGAAAAGAAAAATGAAGATTAACCAAAAGTCCATATTTTTGTACTTGCCATTGACTGTTGTTAGCATTTAATTCAAAATTAAGTTCACTGTTCTTATATTTTAACTATTGATGCTTAGTTTCCATCACTTTGTATAATCTGTAAATTTGAAATCTGAACATTGGTGAAACAACCAATTGCCTCATTCCACAGCATGCTTAAGCTTACCTATGCCCAAGTGTAGTATTGTACTATCAAAGGGATTGTGGGTTTGGAAACAATTCAGCTGAAAAGCCTATTCTGCAATAATAATAATTCAAATTATTGGTCAAAATCCATACATACCAAGCATACTTGCAGTTAATTGATGAATAAGCATAATTGAATGGGTATGATTATGGGACTTTACATTAGCAATATTCTTATGCCCCTATATGTTTACATTGTACATGCCATACCTACTATATCAGCTGCTGTTCAGTATTGGTCTAAAAAGTTATCTTTAAAATTATCTTTTTCAATTATTTTATTGAATTGATATTTTTTAAACGTAATTGATTTCCCTAAATCCAATTTTAGGTGCAATGGCCAGAGATATACCCAGAACAAACTTAAAATACTCAATCAGTTTGCAATGAAAATATCAACCACACTTAAACATTTCAAACATTATATAATACAGTCGAGTTTGCACAAGTCGAATCTAATGGGACTGGCATAAAAAGTTCGAGTTGTACAGATTTCGACTTGCACATTTTCGAAAAAAAAATATTAACATAGAACAATACTATGTGTACTCAATGCCCACAAAATCGAATTTCACGCAAAACCGAACATTTTCTTAAGTCCCATTTTCATTTCTATTCTTTTAATAAAATACTTTCCGAAAACATGAACTCCCTATTCCAAATCTCGGACGATTTGTCCAATTCAGGACGGTAACACTCACTCGAAAAACCAGACGATAGTTTAACGACATCGTTTAACGACAAGCATACCAGACGCTGTGAAAACGAGATGCTTAGCTATACTCGCATTGCCATGGAGATTATCTGTTAATTAACACGACACACAATAGACGTTTTCTTGGTTAATTATGAAGTGAAATTTACGCATTCCAATGTTTTATTAAATGTATATTCTTGCTTTTAATGCTTAAAAACCATCTGGAATCAACCTGCAATAAAGACGGAACTCAACAAAGCAAGTTTCTACTGGTTACTCTTTTCAGTAGACGTCTAATTCAAATTCGTTAGATTCGTCGGTGTAAATTTTAAATGCACCTCATTCATTCTTTAAACTCAAGGCGCTTTTCAAAACATGTTGCTAATTTAATTACGGAGGAAATTTGTAGAGAATAAAATATAATTTGTTACGTTTATTTAGATTTGACTAAAATATAACATGAGGGTTTCTTATTTGCTTTTTGTTTTGTTTTATAAATTTGTTTAATTAAAACATTCTTGATTACACCGAGCTTGTTACTGTCACGCACTATGAAACTTTGGGCGATCTGACGTCATCACAGCCGAAGCACATGTCTAGTCTGCAAAACACCCCACGAAAATGGACCAATTGGCAGGCAGGCAGAGTTTTTGGGGGCGCGACCTGTTCTGTTTACAACTAGACTGCCGACCAGCAAGTGGCATTGCCCAACGAAGAATGTGTGCTTGGAGACCTAAAGAAATGTACGCAAAAACAATATAAAAGTTGCGTTTTATTGGTAATAATTAAATTTGCTGAGCAGTCCAGCAAAACAACAGGTACTGTATGTATTATTATAATAATGTGTTGAATTTGCGTAGGCTAGGCAGTCAAAGAATCCAGGGCTTTGATAAATTAATTAAATAGCTAGGCCCTGACTACAACAATCTTGTTCGAAATGGGTTCAGTACAAGTTTTACAAACTAAACTGGACGAAAAACTGAACATTGGAGCCGGTCCGGAGGGGTGTCTGTATTGTGGGAATAGAATGCAAC